CCTCCCCCTCCCTCCTCCCCTCCTCCCTCCCTCCCCAGCCCCGTCGCACCCGGGAGCCGGGTCTCCGCTGGGGGCTAGCCGCCTCGGCCCCGGGCCTTGCAGCCTCGCACTTCGCGGACTCGAGGCCGCTCTCCTCCCCAGTCTCGTTCCACTTGACACCAAACGCCATTACTGAGGTGGAGTGATTTGGAGCTGTAGAGCTAGGCCTCGGCTACGCCTGGCTATCGGGCCTGACGACTTGTCCGCCTGCCCCTACCCTGCCGCGATAACCCACAGTTTCTCCTCGGCCCAGTGCTCCGGGAGTCTGAGCCGGGTTATCGGCCTCCTACACCTCCTTCACCCCCCCCCCCTTAATTTGCAGAAGGCCAAAACCGTGAAAGATGTTTTGAATGCAGAAATCGCTTCCAAGCTAGTTTGGGCTTACCACCTTTCTATTTTTAACCGTTTCTGCAAAAATATTAGCATGTGCGAGTTTGTTGGTGATAAAATCTTCAGATTCTTGTGATAGGAAGCTTCAGGTTTGAGAAATGGCTTATTTTTCATTCATTGTGAAATACTAACTTAGAGTTATGGAGCAGGTGTATAGATTTTTTTTCTGTTTGTGTGGATTTCTGTAGCGACTGGAACTTACACGGGGATTTTTAAGATTTCTTGAGCCTGCTTAAATTATGCTATTTTTTGAAAGGTACGTAGTTAGGACGTTAATTGAATTTTCCATGGTGCAGTTTACAGGTGTGTATAATTGTTTCAGATTGTCTTTGAATTTAATTAACCAAGCTGTAGGTGTAGGTTCACTATTCGTGCTTTATTTTGGGAGGAGAGAAATATTTGTAGCATTCTTTTACCTGGAAGCCCTTGAGGCCCCTAAATCTACCTGACGTTTGTATACTTTCACTTTTGAGGAAGAATACGTTGGGGTGCGTTGATTAGGAAGCTTTCCAGCAGGTACTTAACCTTCTTGGAGCTCATTCTCTACCTTTATTTATGGTAAGGACTCCTTCACCGTGACTAGCTTGGCTTTCTTCACCAGTACACTTGAAGTTAAAAAATACAGACTGCGAACTCTCCTTTAGATCTCACTGGTTTACTGATTCGCAGAGCTGCCATTTTGGTTTCAGCAAATACCTTTCAAATCTTAAAGATTTATGTATTCAATATTACAAAGATGCCAACGTTTGTTTCCTTAATTTTTAAACTCGTGCTTTGTCATACTTGTAACTTTAGCCTTCTAAACTTGATTGTTCCAAGTGTTTGGGTGGAGTGGAAGTCTGACGTATATTTGGAATTGATGTTCCAAGGGTTAACTACAAATGTTTTTGATCTTTAGTGTGTTTTGCTTTCTTTAATTTAAAAACAGGACTTCTGTACTATACAAATTTTCTCTACCCCTTAATTTTTTTGTCTGAATAATTAACTTGTATTTCTTGTTATCTTAATGTTCTCTTGCTGTTTCTTGCTTTTGTTTGCTGACCTTGGTAATTTCTGAGGGAAAATTTCTGGAGGGAATGTAGGTGAGAATCTAAGTTACTTCAGAACGTAACTTTGAAGGGCAGATTTTACCTTTCACCAGATTATCGGGGTCTGTTGTTGGTGTTCCATAATTCTCCTCTTTTATCTGTAAAATGCTCAAGTAGGATTTACTTTTTATCTTCTTCTAGAGTCTTGAAATACATTTTCTGACACGAGATTTTTTGGATAGCTCCTCAGATAATTTTTCTTTGACATGGTATTAATAATGCTGGTTGTTGTTTTAAAAATTGATGTTTTTCATGAATTTGCCAGTCATCTGCTTGATTAGTTGGGCACATAAAGGTGTTCTGGCTTATTTATTTTATACAATCAATTTTAATGTTTTTAAACTTTTAGTTTCAGAATTTTAATATTGAAACAAATTTGTTTAAAACAGGTTAAAGAAAGTTATTTGAAATACATAGGGGTGTGTGTTAAAGGATTAGTAGTCCTCTTGTAAGTCTTTTGGGCAATAAACGGGGGTGGGGAAGGATCTTGTGATTATTCAGTGTGTTGATTTTTATTCTGAAAGAACGTAATACTTTTATGATAGCCTGCTTTATATTTCCTGTCTTGTTGGTATGTTTTCTGAATTTTAAATGTCTTTTCTTCAAAAATTGAGATTTTTGTTTCCATTTGAGCCTTTTAGGAGCTGTATCTTTGAAATCCATTATATTTATGTAAAGTTCTTATATTATTTTAACATAGAGCCTGACATTAGTATTTGGAAAAGAGTTAATATATATGGACCCTGACTTGACTGTACATTAGAATTACATGGGGGACTTTTAAAGAAATACTGATCCCTGGTCCCACCCCTAGAGACTGATTAATTGGTCTGATATGGGGCATGAGCAAAGGTGTATTTTAAAAGCATTGTGGATGATTCTCATACGCGTTCAGTGTTAAAAACCGCCAGGCTATTGTTTTTAGCATGTTAGAACTTTCAGGTGGGTAAATAAGAAAAAAAAAAAAAAAAAATGGAATTTTTTTCTCAGCTGTTCTCAATTATCACTTATTTAGCATTAATTATATGTGTGCTGTTAAGCATTTTCCACTTGTTATCTTATGTAGACAGGATTATTTCCATTATACAGATGAGGGAGTTAAGTCTGTTAGGCTCAACCAATAGTGCTTCAACTACGGTGCCATGTTAGTGAAATGACACTGATTGCTTTTTCTTTTAAAGGAAACATTGAAAACTTATGGTTGGTTTCTTGTAGCTTTATATTTAGTTTAGTTTTTAAGACGATCAAAATAGTCTCCAATTTGAGAAATATCTTGATTGGCCAAGGGAGATGTTAAAGCTTTGTAGCAAATAGAGTCTCCTTGTCTCCCAACATATATTGTATTTAGGGTGATAGTTTAGTTGGTGGGTTTGTTTGTGACTAAAATAATGTCAGGCAGCTTAATACAAGATTCCTCAAAGATCTTTTTAAAATTATATCATAGAAAATGGGACTTCAGTAATTATTAAAGTTTATGTAATTATAAGGAAAAAAGACTCCATGAAACTTCTGATACTTATATATATGGGGGCTTGAATTTATCATCTACTTATTACTGTAGATCATAAGTGATGATCACTATAATATATTTTTAAGGAATAATACATGAAAAAGTATATTGTTAGAATGAGATCTCTTACCTGCAATTCTGTCTTTTACCTTTGTGTATTACAAAGCATCTAGAATAATACTATTTAAAATAACTGCTTATTGATTGCCTGAATGGCAAAATCTGGGACAATATTTGTCTTTCAATACCTTGAATCTCTTGTACAGAATTGATGCATCATCATTTTATGGCACCCTACTAATCAATCATGTGAGCTTTGAACATATTCGACCCATGTTAGTCAACCATAATCAAAGGAATTTTTTTTCCTTGGAATGATTTTTGAGCTACTAGTCTTGTATATTAGATCTTATCCTCTACAGTTTTTGAATTGGGAAAAGAAGGGAGAAAGAAAGGGAGAAGAAGCCTCCTATTTCTGTCCTTTATGCTCATTTTATTCCTGCTGGCTTTGTGACTCTTGAGAGTTATGATTAGGTTGTTGTTACATTTATCTTTTCTGGTCTTTTTTCTCAACTAGTTACTTAAAACTTCTAAGTAAGACTACTCATTTTTAACTTGGACCCTTGAAGACATTGAAATTGCCACATGATGTTAGATCCATGTTTAACCTAACAGTATCTTCTCTCTGATCAAAGTAGTGTACAAAGATTTGGTTGCTCTCCTTGATAACACCTCTGGAATTCAGAGCAGGAATCAGCAAACTTTTTCTGAAAAAAGTGCCAGATAGTAATTATTTGGGACTTTGTTGGCTAAGAGGCAAAGTCGAGGATATTGGATAAATTTTTTATTGGTGAAATTAAAAATATGATAATTGAGTATAATTACATGTAATTTAGTTCTAATGAGCAAAACAATATTTTGTTTAATTGGGTAAAGTTTAATGTTCCCTGTTATCAAGCTGATTGCATATGTTCTGTGGAAACTTATTCTTAGCTTATGGGTTGTACAAAAACCGGGAGGCTGGATTTGGCCTTTTACCATAGTTAGCCAGCCCCAGGTTTAGAGTAGTGGTTCTCAAACCTGGAGGGCTTGTTTGGGCCCCATCCCCAGAGTTTGATTCAGTAAGTCTGGAGTAGAGTCCTAGGATATACATTTCTACTAACAAGTTCTTGAGTAGGAAACCACCCTGGAGCATTACTAATTTAAAGTCATATCCTACTTGTGCTAAGATTTATCTCTTTGATTGTATCTTGTATTGTTTTATACTTTATTTTAAATCCAATAACTATATATTAAATGCCTGTTATGTGCTAGGTATTGTATCAGGTAATGGGAACATAAGGTAGGCAAAAGGAGAATTGACCCTGTCATATACTGGTTAGAGTGAGTTTAAGAATCAATTTCCACAAGCTCTTTAGAGCTTAGAATCTGTGCGATAACAA